ATAACCTCATATTGGGCCTCCCCGGTGGCGCAGCAGTTGAGCGCTGGGTTGCGAAGCTGCCTGCAGCCTCTGCAGTGCCGGTTCGATCCCCGGCTGCTCCCCGGCCAATGGAGGAGGGTCCCGCATGGCGCACAGACCTCTCCTGCCGCCCACTGCTCCCCTCAGCAGTGTACTTCAGTCCTTCTGCCTGCTCTGCTCCCTGCTCTGGCTCTGGTGAATTCTCTCACCCTCCTGCACTTCTGACTGTACCCGGTGCTTGTATAAATAAATAAACAAACAAATAAATAAATAAATAAATAAATAAATAAATCTTAAAAAAAAAAAAAAGAAAGAAAATAACCTCATATAGAAAAAACAAACATAGGAATGAGGGCAAAATAAAGACTATTTTTTACATAAGTAAAACTAAGAAAAATGTTAGGTACCTTCTCAAGAGGAGCACTCGAGAAAGTGTTTCAGGCTGAAGGGAAATAACAAATAAGTGTTTCAGGCTGAGAGAAACCTGGAAATTAAAGAATGAAGGAGGAACATAAATGGTGTCTTAAGCTCTTGAGAGTATGCATAACTACTTGAGAGCAAAATTTATAAGAGTATCTAGTAAAGTTTTCAATGTATGTCGATGTAACTCACACACATATAAATTATAAGAGGGGAGGGTTAAAAAAAGGAGTTCTGTGGTCATAAAGATTTTATACTTTACTTAAAGTGATAAAATATTAACTGTAAGTAGACTGTGAATAGTTAGGTATGTATATTGTAATTCTCAGAGCAACCTGTTTAAAAAAATACATAAATATAGGGCCTCCCCGGTGGCGCAGTGGTTGAGCTCTGGGTTGCGAAGCTGCCCGCAGCCTCTGCAGCGCCGGTTCGATCCCCGGCTGCCAGAGGAGGGCCCCACATGGCGCGCAGACCTCTCCTGCCGCCCGCTGCTCCCCTCAGCAGTGTACTTCGGTCCTTCTGCCTGCTCTGCTCCCCGCTCTGGCTCTGGTGAATTCTCTCACCCTCCCGCGCTTCTGACTGTACCCAGTGCATGTATAAATAAATAAATAAATAAATAAATAAATAAAATTAAAAAATAAATAAATACATAAATATATAGCCAAAAATATATCTACTGCTGAATAAAACAATCCCTTCTTCACAGTTCAGCCAGAAAGATGTGGGTTGTGACTGTTACTCAGTCTTGCTGATTACAAACAGTTGTAAAAGACTTGAGTGTGAATCCAAAATAAGCCAAATGGGGCCTCCCCGGTGGCGCAGCGGTTGATCGCTGAGTTGCGAAGCTGCCCGCAGCCTCTGCAGCGCCGGTTCGAACCCGGGTCCCAGGTCCCACATGGTGTGTAGACTTCCCCTGCCGCCCGCTGCTCCCCTCAGCAGTGTATTTCGTCAGTCTGCCTGTTCTGCTCTCTGCTCTGGCTCTGGTGAATTCTCTCACCCTCCCACGCTTCTGACTGTACCCAGTGCTTGTATAAAATAAATAAATAAATCTTTAAAACAAAACAAAATAAGCCAAATGTTCTTTAGAGGAAAGTTACAATTTCTAAGAGTTCATAGTCTCTAAATGTTTATTCTCAATTTTTTTACTTAAGTCTTTACAAACATTTTTAATTCTCAAGTACAATAGCATTTAATTGTAATAAAGCTTAGTTGCTGGCAAAAAAAAAAAAAATGTATCTACTGCTATTTTAGCAGATATATTAAAGTTCCCAAAGAAAATAACCTCATAAAGAAAAAACAAATATAGTAATGAGGGCAAAATAAAGACTATTTTTTAGATAAGTAAAACTAAGAAAAATGTTAGGTACCTTCTCTAAGACGAGTTCCCCCAGCCAGCCAGGGAGCTGCCCACATGGCGCAGTAGACCTCTCCTGTCTCACCCGCGGCTCCCCTCAGCAGTGTATTTCAATAAATCCGCCTGTTCTGCTCCTCACTCTGTCTCAGGTGAAGACTCTCAATGCACCCCCTCAACTCTCTGGCCTGTACCCTAGTTCTTGTATGCATAAATAAATAAATCTTTAAAAAAATAAAAAAATCCAAATAATCCAAAAAGTGGCAGGAAAGGGTGAAGAGAGAAGAACAAAAACAAAGGGAACAAACAGAAACAAATAAAAAAAGATAGACCTAAATACTACTATATTTATTTTTGTGTAGAAGAACTGAGGTGTAGGCCAGAGATGTGGGGGGTGAGAGGATTCACCAGAGACAGAGTGGGGAAAAGAACAGGCAGACTGACCAAAGTATACTGCTGAGGTGAGCAGCAGGTGAGCTAGGAGAGGTCTGCTGCACCATGTGGGTAGCTCCCTGGCCGGGGATCAAACTCAGGCAGTCACGGTGGGTGAGGCCACTAGGGAGGTCCTAAATAATACCATATTACTAGTATTAGTTGTAAATGGCCTAAATGCACCAATTAAAAATGAAAGATTATCAGATTGGATTATAGAACATGACCCCACTATATCTTGCTGTTAAGAAACTGACATTAAATATAAAGACATTAATTTAAAGGATGGAAAAAAGTTTTGGAAACCAGTGGTTTGAAGAGAAGTTTGGGATTTTCTCTCTCAGATAGCTGGGTTGGGTGGGACAAGTGTGGAGGGGTCACTACTAGACAACCTTAGTGTTCCTGCAGCAAAAGTGTTGCGTCTCCAGCGGCTGACTCCTAGTCTCTCCACTTGGCTGTCAATTCAAGCATGGATTTGCCCACTCATCACCCAGTAGCCATAGCTTACAAACTACCTGCTGAACCAAACTGAACAAAGTTTCTTGCTTCCAAGAATTCTAATTCAGCCTTTTCGGAAATAAGGGGATGATGTTTTGGTTCGCTATAGTTTTGGGTGTGCTCTAACTATTCTGGGAGATTGGCACAGATGAATAAGATTCTGGTCTTGTGGCAATGTTTAATGTTCTCTGACTAGGAATGAATCTCATCTTATCCATGATGAGCCTAGAATCTCTCCTTGATGTCTATGGCAGATTACAAAAATGTCTCCAACCATGAATTGAAAGTGTTGGCATGAAAGGCTTAATTCTGACTCCAACCCTCAAAGCTATAGAGACATCTGACATGCAGACATCTCCAAGACAAGCCTAATACTGTCAACAAGAAGCTCCTGTCTCTAGAAGCAAATGGGATCACTATAAACAGAGGTAGAGCCTATTTAAGTCAAATTGTAGAGATTGAGATTGCAGAAACACTGAATAAACTGGCATAAACCATAGGTCATAGTATGGCAGGATTAGTATGAAAGGTTTCATCAATTTTTTATTTTTTTTAAAGATTTATTTATTTATACAATACCTGGGATACAGACCAGAGGAGCGGGAGGGTGAGAGAGTTCACCAGAGTCAGAGCAGGGAGCAGAACAGGCAGACAGAGCAGTGGGCGTGACAGGAGAGGTCAGCCACGCCATGTGGGAATCTCCCTGGCCAGCCGGGAATCGAACCCGAGCTGCAGAGGCTGTGGAGAGCTTGACAGCGCTGCGCTCAACCCGCAGTGCCACCAGGGAGGCTGTTTATCAATTTTTAAAATAGTGATCAGATTTCAGAGAATGCTTCACTTCCTGCATAAATGAAAAAGAGTATTTGAATGAAGACAAACTCAGGTTAGTTATTTTCTTCAATTTCAGGAACAATTAATGGCCTCAGTCCAAATACTGTCAAGTAGAGATATGGTCTGCATTTTATGGCAAAGTTTAGACTTTAAAGTTAATTGTGAACAGTACTTGAATTTTAGGTCAGATCCTCCCTCCCCTGATATGCTTAAAGGAAAGTCTGCTCTTCATTTTCAAAAGTTCTCATTGTAGAGATTACTATCTCCACAGAATACCTGTTCTCCCCTTCCTCTGTGGCAATAGAGTCCTAATTTTTAGTGAGGCATAAGGCTGTTGGAATAGACTAATTCTCCAACCTCCCTTATAGTTCTGGCCTGTAAGTTGTAAGAGGAGGTATCATGAGGCAGCTTTCTGGAACCTTCCTTAAAATACTGCTGGCACATTTCCTTCATTCTTTTTTCTTTGACCCTCATTTAATACATTCTGTATTGGAGAGTAGATGTAGTGGCTAGGGGTTCTAGCTGCCATCTTGACCATGAAGACCTAGAGAAGAACTCAAGGTTCCTAAAGACTTTGTGAAACAGACTCATAGTAGTCCCTGGTTGCCTACTTCTGGACTTTCATGTGAAAGGAAAAGTAAATCCTCTTGCTGTGTAAGTCACAGTTATTCTTTTACTTTTGTTGTATGTAGCGGAATTTAATTCTAATATAGTTCCTAATGACTGAAACCAAGACATACTCTCAGGGCCTCCCCAGTGGCGCAGTGGTTGAGCGCTGGGTTGCAAAGCTGCCCGCAGCCTCTGCAGCGCCGGTTCGATCCCCGGCTGCTCCCCGGTCACCGGAGGAGGGTCCCACATGGCACGCAGACCTCTCCTGCCACCCGCTACTCCCCTCAGCAGTGTACTTAGGTCCTTCTGCCTGCTCTGCTCCCTGCTCTGGTTCTGGTGAATTCTCTCACCCTCCCGCACTTCTGACTGTACCCAGTGCTTATATAAATAAGTAAATAAATCTTTAAAAAAAAAAAAAAAAGACATATTCTCAAATGAATCCTAGGAAGAAGTTCTGGATGGAGAAATCATTCCAACCTATCCTTTGCAGCTGAAAAATACAATCAACTGCCCTTCTTGAGACTAGATACCAAGAGAAAAACCAACCAGCAACCAAAAGAATATTAATGAAGACTCTAAATGGAGGGCAGATATTTGAACAATTCAGTTTATCTGGTCTGGTGGGAAAACACTGCAGACAACCCATGTGGCCAGCCCTCCTGCTCTTGTTCCAGTGCTCCCTCTCCTGGCCTTGGTAGGCTTTTCCTCTGTTAAGTAGGAGGATGTTGGACTAGATGGCTCCATGTTTCTGTCCAGCATTGAAATTCTAATCCATTTTCTACTCTCCATTAGACGATGTACTCCTTTTGGAGTAAAGAAGTAATCCAGAAAAAGTGCTTAGGACAGTGCTTGGCACATGGCAAGGGTGTCTGTAAAAGTCAGCTATCGGGAACTGTGTTCCTCATTTCTGTAGTTTGCAGCCTCCTTCATGAGTAGGTGCTCAGCAGGGGGTTGCTGATATCCTCTGAGATGGCCTATCTATCTTCTATCGATCCCCTGCTGGCTCTATGAAGGCTGGACCCCCGTACTTAGTAGTGTCAGCAAAATGACCCAAGAAAAGGAGGTGCCTTAGTTTCCAGGTTACACAAATCCATGAAAGAAAAAATCAGCAGTGGAGGAGGAAATACACTATTTATTTACAATGCATTCACTTTTTCCACAATTTCCCATACAAACATAAAAACTAAAAAAATAAAACCACCACTTGGGATCACAAGTGTCTTTCTTTAGTTAGTCCGGTTGAGGGAGGGTCAGATGCCCTCCTGCTCTGTGAAGGAGACTATTGAGGCACACTGAGGGGAAAAGGAAAAGGGGCAGAAGAATGCCTGAGAAACAGCTCCTGATGAGAAATGTAACATGCCGTGTGGGGGGCTTCACTGGCAGAGACCCACTGGGGACACCACCTAGCTTCCCAAGAAGATGACAGCTGTCCCCTACCTCTCCATTACTAAACGCCAAGAACGGACCAGGGTCACACATCTCACGAGCTGTGTGAGGTGAATGGTGACAGTGGGGGATGTGGGAAAGCCTCTCTGAGAAGAGGCTAAACCCCAGGGAATACAGCAAACCCCCTTCCTTGGCACTGAGGAATCAGTCACAGCTTGTCTGGAATACAACGCTGACTTAAAAATGTGAAAACAAAAGCCCTCCCCAGAATGGGGAAACACAGGGGTGAAAAACATGTAGAAGGGCTTCTGCCTCTGTCGCTCTCTTTGGGAGGTGGCAGGGGTGAAGGGTAAGGAGCTCTGTCTGCTGAGGAGGGGGGAGGGAGCAGGGAAGATGCTCCACGAGACTGGGGTGAGAGGGAAGAAGGGCAGGAGAGGAAAACTGAGACACTGATGCTTAGGGTGCTCCAAGCAGCCCCTTATCTGCTCAGCTGCGCGCGCTCTGGCAGACTCACCTCCCTCGCAGGAAGGCACCCAGAAACCAACCCGGAGGTGCTGAAGTCACCTGCCCGGCAACTTCATCTGTGCTAGTGACCTAGATTGCTTTCACATGTCAATGCACATTATAAATATAAAATCATATCTGCTACAAAGAGGACATATATTTGTACAACTTTACCCATATACATAATAACACAATTTACACATCATATCTTGGAGTGGGTCATCATGGAGAAAGGGTTTGGAGAGGTAAAAAGCCCCTTGTCCCGCCCCTGCCCTGATCTTTCTTGAGGGACATTTGTACACTTGGTCACTGAGCCCTTGCCAGCTGGTGGCGATGGGGCCAGTCAGACAGAGAAATTCAGACACGTAGCTAAATGCTAGTGGGTGCGTACACCCACACCCGCACATAAATGCAGGCACACAGACATCTGGTGAGAAAGGAAAAATAAAACTCCTAGCCCTTGGGTGTAGGCCGCTTCCCAAAGTTATAAGCATCAGTGCCTCCTCCATCTTAAAAAGCTGACCCTCGCTGGCTCAGACTAGGGCAGAAGGGGAAAGGCTAGGGAACTAGGGAGGACGGGGTGGGGGGTGGGTACTGGGAGTGTTTTCAAAACATAAGGCGTTTCTTGACCTGTGATCAAATTAAACTATATCACAAAAAGCAAAGGTATCCATTGGGGTCGGGAGGCAAGAGACAGCCAGTCCTTGTAGGGACAAAGCGAGTTGAGACCCTGAGTCTTCCCCTCTTTTGTCCGGTTTCTTTGAAAGGGGCAGACAACCCTGTACCTCCTTTTTGTCCTCTCCCCGAGCTCGGCCCATCCACATGGCATGGAATACTGATAGTGGTCCAAGAGACCCATCCGGAGACATGGAGTGGTGGACAGGCACGCCAAAAAGTTAAGACCTGGGCGGCAGATGTGAGCTTTTTACAGCAGGAGTGGTTCCTGGCCGGGGTCCACGGCTCGCACAGTGGCCACAGTGATCAGATTGCCATCAGAGATGGGGCAGTCGGGGTCCCCATGGGGACACAGCACCTATCGGCGGTAGTGATTTGGGGCATCGGCAAACATGTACTTGAGTCTGTAGGCCTCAGCGAGAAGCAGCCCGATTTCTTCGTTGCCCCAGTGTATCGTAGGTAGGTTTTGTAGCAGCATGAGGAGACCCTGGAATGCAAGACATGGCTTTAATTACCCCGGGACTGCAGACCCAGGTCCCAGCAGACCCTGGAATGGGGCCCTTTTCTCCTGGATCACCTACCCAAAGGGTTTGGCCTCCCTCCTCCCAAGGAGCACACAGCCTTTGGCCTCTAGTTCACCTTCTAGAAGGCTTGAAAAGCCTCTGCTGATTCTCTGATCCACTAACACCTGCCTCTTTAAAAATATTACAGCAAATCACAACAATAAATAAGGGTATTTAAAAGAGAAAAAAAATCACTCATCATCCAAATATACCTCTCTTAATTTTAATGCACTCCTTTTAGTCTTTTTTACATGCATATTTCTTTAAATAGTTGTAATCATAATTATAATTTTATATGCTTTTTAATCACCCCTTTTTACTATAATTTTCATGTTTTTCCATGCAGCCTTCAAAAATGATTATTCTCAATGCTCGTATTCCATCATGTGGCTATATCCTAATTTACCCAGCCATCTCCCATTGGTTACATAATTTGCTTCCTTAAAAAACAAAACAACAAACACCTTTATTGATAAGACTGCTGCCTATCTTTCTGCATTTAACGTCTTTCTCCTAATCCTTCTCTTGTAACCACTGTATTAAGCTGCACTGTTCTCCAAAGACCATTCTCCACCGACCTGTCCAGCTTATTTCCCAATGGACATGCCTCATTCAATCAGTTCCACTCCATGGTTTGCATGTGCCTCTGTGGTTTATTTTATACTGTTTTTTTTTTTTTTTTTCAGTTGGAACACCTTCTTCCTTCTCCTTCCACCTATCTAAATCCTATTCAGTTTGCAAGCCCAGGTCCCTCAAAAAGCCCCAATGAGGTAGCTAATTAAAGGGGATAAAAAATGAATGTAAATGAAAAATGAATGTGAGATTTTAGGTTATCTCTATAACTTAGTTACTCGTGCTGTTGCTGCTGCCTTGTGTTCTTTCTCTGACTCTTTCTGAACTGAATAGTCTTATTTTTTCTGATTATTATAAAATTCCTGATGATAATTATACCAAGACACACAAGCTAGAGCCATAGAGACTGACAGATATAATTACGTATAATTTTGAAATTTCAGTATGTCAGGAGGCATCAAAAACTAAATTAAATATAAAAACTGTAAGAAAAGATTTATAATACCTGTAAAATACAAAAGGTTAATAAGCACAGTCATAATAAAAAAAAGGAGTACGTACAGATCAATAAGGAAAAAGGGAGAAGAATCAAGTAGAAAAGCAGAGGAGTGATGTAAATAGGTAGTGGACAGGATGACAACGGCACCCACATGCTGTGATTTCTCTTACAAGTGCTGTTTTTAGCTGATCTGAACACCGAGCACAGCTTCACAGTTTTCAGTGTAAAGGTCATGCACATCTTTGACGAGAGTTCTTCCTTTTGGAACAGAAACTCTGCTGGGCACAAGGCTACCTCTGCAGACCTGGCTACATATGGCCAATATGACTCAGTTCTGACCAATTCTTTTTTTTATTATTTAAAGATTTATTTATTTATGCATACGAGATCTGGGGTGTAGGCCAGTGGTGTGGGAGGTGAGAGGTTCACCAGAGACAGAGTGGGGAGCAGAACAGGCAGACTGATGAAATACACTGCTGAGGGGAGCAGCGGGCGAGTTGGGAGAGGTCTGCTGCACCATGTGGGTAGCTCCTTGGCGGCTGGGGATCAAACTCATGTGGCAGAGGCCGAAGATAGCTTCACAGTGCTATGCTTAACCCCTTGTGCCACCAGAGAAGCCCAGTTTTGACTAATTCTAGGACAGTGTGACTTCTGGGTTCTGTCCTAAAATTCTCCTCTCCCCTTCCCAGGAAGGGATATGAACAGAGTAGTGGAAATGGTCACCTTGCACTGAAGGATTAAAGTCATACACAAATGGAAGACAGGAGTCTGAGTCCTCACAACTTTAAAGTCAGAATGTTGGCCCTGACCGCTCACACTTAGACTTGTTAACTGAAAAGATGCACCAACTTGTTTTATGCCACTGCTATTTTAGGGACTTTCTTGTACATCAGACAAGTTTATATTTTTCTACCCAATATATCAAAGTCAGAAATGCACATGATCTTTGACCTATGCTCCCCCTGGTAGGTGGACTATGCACACTCTGGGACAAAAGCATTCACTGTACCACTGCCTCAGAGGGTGGGGGAAAGGCCACCAGGGAGTGTCTGTCATTGAGGAGTGGTTAAGCCATGGTCAACATGAGGAAAAGGCAGCACCTGCAACAGAGGAAGCAGGACCACACGTGCCAAGGTGAAAAGATATCTGAGGCATTTTTAGGTGGGAAAAAAAAGCAAGTTACAGAAAGCTAGAGTATGCTCCCATTTAGTGAAGGAGAACCTCCCACAGTATTTTTGCATATGCACACATGTACATACAAGCGTCAGAGGCTAGGTGGTAGAACAGTGGCTACCTCTGGGGAAGGAGACTTTCACTTTTTTCTCTATACTTTGATATCTTCTGAGCTGCTTGTTTTCAATTTTTACCATAGTCTTTGTAAATTACTTGTGTGATAGAATTTTTTAAAATGTTTATTTATTTATATATACAGGAACTGGGGTACAGGCTAGAGGTATGTGGGGTGAGAGGATTGACCAGAGACAGAGTAGGGAACAGAACAGGCAGATTGACTGAAACACACTGCTGAGGGGAGCAGCGGGCGAGTCAGGAGAGGTCTGCTGCGCCATGTGGGTAGCTCCCAGGTTGGGGATCAAACTCGTGCTGCAGTGGCTGCGGATGGCTCCATAGGTTGTGTCCTAACCCCTTGCGCCACCAGGGAGGCCCACAATATTTTTCTAAAGTTCATTTTTTTAAAAGAAACTGTGGAAATTTTGTTTAGTAAAAAGAGGCAGAAAATAAATCACCTATAAAACTTCACAAGAGGTAGCCACTTTTAAACATTTTGGCATATTTCCTTCCAGTCCTTTTTTCTGTACATTTTACACAGCTGAAATATTTTTCCTATATAATTTTGAATCTACTTAGCATTTACATAAGCACTTCTTCTAATATTAAAAATTTGTCGCAGACATTTCAATGGTCAAAAAATTTCCCATGATGTAGGTGGACCATAATTTATTCTACATCTTCCTGTTTTGAGCATTTAATTATTTCTGGTTTCTCATTATAATGAAATTATAATGAGCAGCCTTGTACATAAAACATTATTTTAGATTATTTCCTTGGGCTAAATTCCTAGGAATGAAATTACTAAGTCAAAGGGCATAAAAATTTAAAAGTTGCTTAATATTCATCCAGAAAAATACATTCCAGAAAAATGTTTATTTCCCTAGATCTCCACTTACTGAATACTATCATTAAACAAACTTTGTTAATTGTAATCCCTTTCCCTGAGATCTCCAGGGTTGGGACTGGAGCTCCATAGACTTAAATCAATATAGGGGTGAACCTACAGGAATAACAGCGAGGAAGCAATCAGACTTCTAGCTCCTGTAGTATGTCCACTGTAAGTGAATTAATCAGGCTTTGTACACTACAAGCCTCTGTGGTGATCAGCTGTGACCTTGATGGTGTTGATGCAGAAGGTGCTTGGGATCGCGGGTTTGGGGCAAGTGTGCCTGATTGTGGACACCTGGAGCATGGGTGTGGGTATGCGTAAGTGCACACCTGGGCCTAGAGGCCAGGGCTATAAGGGTGGCGTCACTCAGAGAACAGCCGCAGGAAGATGGCTATGAGAGGACGAGTGACTACAAAAGAGGTAAGACCATGAGAGAATGCGAGAAAGCCCAGAGAAAGTGTAAAGATTTGTGGGGAGGGTCTCCCCTGGTGGCACAGCAGTTGGGTGCTGGGCTGCGAGGCTGCCCGCAGCCTCTGCAGCGCCAGTTCGATCCCCGGCTGCCAGGTGAGGGTCCCACATGGCATGCAGACCTCTCCTGCTGCGCCCGCTGCTCCCCTCAGCAGTGTTTTTTGTCAGTCTGCCTGTTCTGTTTCCCGCTCTGGCTCTGGTGAATTCTCTCACCCTCCTGAGCTTCTGACTGTACCCAGTGCTTGTATAAATAAATAAATTTAAAAAAATTAAAAAAAAAAAAAGATTTGTGGGGAGCTGGGAGGCTCAGTTGCCTGCCTACGGCCCAGGGCCCCTCCCTGTCTGGCCCCTCCCTGCCTCCATGCATGCCAGCCTCCCTGCCTGGGGTACCTGTGTACCTGGTTCCCTGAGAGAACATTAACGCCTGAAAAATCCACTGAGTGCTCCGGAACTCTGCTTTATCTGACTGCCCGAATCAATAGTGAATCTGCCCTGTGCCTGCTGGCACTACATCCATCCTTGCCCCATCCTCAGTGGCTGGCATCTGCTTTCTTGCTTTTCCACCCCCTACATGCTAACACTCCCTCCCTCAAACCGTTGTTACTGAACTCCATTCAATCAGAGCAGGTGCTCAACCAGGGATACTCCTTCAACCCACCCAGCTGCCAACATAACTTAGAAAAAAAAAGCCTGCTTGCAGCTGATCTGAATCTCTCTGGATTGTTCATTTCTCACAGTCACAGTTCTCCCAGGGTTCCATCTAGGCTCAGCTGTATGTCTGCCTCAAAACTTTTTCTTTTAAGAGAACCATCATTTATATCTCAACTTATTTTTAAAATGTTGCCCTTGGCACATAACACCCTTCATGTCCCCTCATCCCCCAATGTGCCACCACCATGAACTCCATGACATCTGGTCCCTTTGCTCTTCTCTCCTGCTTCCTATTCCTTCCAAGTGCCCCCACCCCACCCAATGGAAAATGTATTGCTGCCCCCCCCTTTATCAACATCCTCCTTAGGGTGTCAAATTTCATTGTAAGTTTGGCAGATTCTGCAGAGGTCTCAACCTTTCTTGCACCTACCTCAGACTCTTGTCTGGTGAAGTCAATGAATCCTTTCTTTAAAATAACGCTTTTAATGACATAAAATCAAATACATAGTCAAATTGAAATATAGTTATTCGAGTATTTCAGAAACAAATTTGTG